TTTTAAAAATTTTCCTCAACTAAACAGTACCCAAGAACTTTACACAAGACCAAGAAAAGCTTTTGCCTCCTTAGAAAAAACAACACTAGTTACAGATTTCTGAAAGTTATTTATGAGAACAAAGAATTATAAGGGCTAACCTAACGTTAAAATATTGAAATCAGCGATGACATATTCCATCCTAAAGAAGCTCTGGAAGAATTAAGAATTTTTGATTCTTTGTTGCTATAGCAATCTTCCTACCTATAATTAAAATGCGGCCTCTTATAATTAGACATAATTACTTCAACAAGTCAAAAAATAGCTAAAATTTACTCTGCTGTTACTCTATAAAATAATCTAACAAAAATGGTTAGGAAACATCATCCTAACTCCACCAGGGCTCAGGAATGGGCGATATATGAGACTCTGGTTGTGTGAAGAAGGGTGGTTAGCATAGAAGATTTTCAGAATACTAATATCTGCCCAATAATATAATGAGTACATATACTCATTTGTAACATCTCTCCTTATACCCAGTGACTCTTTATATACAATGTAAATGTCTCCCTAATATAAGGTATTATATAGTATATAATATACACATTATAATGTATATAATGCATATGTCATATGATATATATACTATGTACATTGTCTAAAATGCATATAATATATATTATATAATTATGTAATATTACATTATACATTATATGTATGATGTATATGTTATACATTATATTAGGGAGACATAGCCTACCCGGCTCCAGGAAAGAATCACCGGGTATAAGGAGAGATGTTATAAATGAATATGTATTACATTTGTCAACTGTTAGACAAAAACAAAAAGTAATCAATGTTTTTTTTTTGAGCAAGATTAGCCCTGAGCTAACAACTGCCACCAATCCTCCTCTTTTTGCTAAGACTGGCCCTGAGCTAAAATCCATGCCCATCTTCCTCTATCTCATATGTGGGACACCTGCCACAGCATGGCTTGATAAGTGGTGCCTAGGTCTGCACCTGGGATCCGGGCTGGTGAAGCTCAGGCCACTGAAGTGGAACTTGAGAACTTAACTGCTGCACCGCTGGGCTGGCCCCCAAAATAATCAACTTTTAAAGCATATGTGAAACACAAATTGGAACACTTCTTAATAAAGAACTTAATGAAAAATGCCATTTATAAGAAACCGAAACATCAAGGAAAAACAGCAAAAATTTTGCGCAACAATCTGGGTACTAATTCTTTACTGAAGACGGCAAATTCTACAATGGAAATTATTGGAGCCCTGGATCTCCAGGAGGACAAGCCCCAACTTTTCTTGCTCCAACCAGTATCCCCAGCACCTGGCATGCAGTACGGGAGACAGTGATAAATACAAGTTAGGACAGCAGGCATTGGAGTCAGTTGTCTCAGTTTGACTCCCAGCTCTATTACCTACCAGCCTATGATACTAAGCAATTTACCTAGCCTCTTTGTGCCTCAATTTTTTAATCTGCAAAACAGTACCTATTGCATAAGATTGTTTTATGAATTAACAATAACAATAACAACACATACAGTACTTAACTTTGTGCCAGACACTTCTAAGTACTCATTTATACTTATTTATTTAATCCTCCCCAAATCTTATGAAATAGAAACTAATATCCCAATTGAAAGATGAAGAAACTGAGGCTCAGAGAAGTTAGTAACTTGTCCAAGGACACACAACCAGTAAATGGCAAAAAGAATTCATGTTCCTAACCACTCCATCATCCTTGACATAACATGTGTTAAAGATTAGTACAGTGCCTGGAATCTAGCACAAGATCAATAACTAATGTTTATTAATAAATATTTGTCAAATGTGTGCAAGATTCTGAGGTTACGCCAGGGCTCAGCAGGAAACAATGCTGTGAGCAACTGATGATGTGCCCCAGGGATGTGGAATGTGTGGGTGATCACGCTTGGTCCATGGGTTTACTATCCCTCTTTCACATGAAACAAAGAATCCTAATGTCTGACTGCCTGAAGTTTTCCTGCCTCCACCTCAGTGCGCTTGGATCTTATGTCAGGCTGTCATTAGCTCACACCAGATTACCACCTTCACTCTGCTAATCCACTCCCCATCCAACCGCCAAAATACTCCTCCGAAAAGATGCTTTCATCACTTCCTCCTTTCAAGGAACCTGCCTTGAATTGGCTACCTCATCAAATCAAAATGCCATCCTCTGGCTTTCAAGGGCGGTAATAAGACATGGAAGGAACATGGCTTTAACTCTAGTTCAAGTGCTTAAGTGCCTACTTATCAAATAAATACTTGATAAGAATGGCCATGGTTCATTACACAGAGAATAGCAGTGTTAGTGTTACTTCAAAACAGTAACAAGCAATTTTTTATTTTATGTTCTTATTTTGGACATAGTCCAATAGGAAAAAATTTTAAATGCTTAAGGATCTCATTTGATTTTTATTCAGAGTGAAACAAGCTTGATTGGAGGAGATAAAGAAAATGTGAATTATTAATAGGCACTATAATATTAATATCCAGGCAAATTCCAGACAGCTTTCTAACCTTTCATCCTGAAATTAGACCATGAATCATAGACTAAACCTCTAATGACTGGGGGTGAAGTCAGAACTATTAAAAAAAAAAAAAAAGGAAGGCATAACATCCTTAATATTCAAGATCATACCATGCACCTATTTCTAAGAGTACCTTGAAAAGTTAACTAGAGCAAATCAAAACTTGTGAATTACTGGTGCTTATATCAAAAGAATGCTTTTAATAAACACAGTTACTAAGTAACCGCAGTCTGAATTAATGCCTCTAAGCCAATCGCATCAAGGGACAAACACAACATGGATTTAATTTAAAATTTAGAAAGAAAATCAAGTAACGTATGCTTTGAAGACTTAGCAATTTGCCAAATGTTTAATTGGCTTTTCCCCTTAGCATGAGGGGATGTAGGATTGTACTAGAAGTTCATCTGATTTGCTTAGAAATGCAAATAACTTCTGACAAAAGGTACATCCAGATGTAGCTACATCCAGATTATTCCTTAGTTGAACATTCTGATGTCAACTCAGGATTTCTGAATGTACATTCACACATCCAATCAGACAATCCACATGTTCAGAGAGCTGGAATAAGCAAGTCCACAGGTCCCAATTCAGTGTTTTTTGTTTGTTTTTGTTTTGTTTGGGAGGGATTGCCATTGTTCCTTCAGTTGAAGAAGCTGGTCTTCTTATCTGAATATATCAACCAGGCTTCAATTTGATGAAATGTTTGGTGATTCATGTAAAGTCATAGTTAAAAAAATCAATAGTAGGGAAGGTAATGTAGTTAGGTTGGGAAAATTAAGACATTCTAGAATTGTTAGTCATTTAACAAATATTTATTGGGCAGCTGCGATCCATTAGCTCTAAAGGACAGAAAGCTTATTCTAATATTTTCAGTGATGACCAGGAGTCATTTCTCCTTGTTTCAACTGAAGTTACTTATAAATCTTTAACAGGGTCAAGAAAAAACACCAGCCTTAGACAGAATCACAAATCCAGTGGTTTAAAAAGTGTATAATTGGTAAATCCATCCTCCAGGAAGGCACGTAGCATTTCCTGGGCAGCATCCACATATTTTTTCTACCCCTCATATTTTGAGCAAGAATTATCAAGCTTTTCTTCTCTGCAAAATGTAACCTCACTCCCTGGAGTGTAGCTGTAAGAGGGCTTGGAAAGAGTCCTTGAAGGAGGTATATGATCAAATTGTGTTTAGTGAAGTCCTCTGTGCTGAAAGTAAAAAAGAGGTAACTATTATTGATAATTCTTTATTTTTATCAGTCCTTCTCAGGAGCCAACCCCAGAGACACTCCCCTCTCCAGGAGCAAATCTCTCTGCTGACGACACCCTTGGGACAATGGTCCTCTCATTTCTCCCTCCAAACCTCTCACTGGCAATGAGTCCTATGAAATAGGGCAAAAGTAGGCAAGCAAAGAAAGGCCCCCTCTGCCTGATCACTTAAATGGTGTTATTTTACAAAAGAGTGTAAGAAAACAAGTTTCTTCTTAAAATTCCCAAGAACCAGTTGATACATAAATTACAGTTTAAGTATATTCAAAAGCAGATTCCCAAGAGGCAAAGAATTTGCCATATACACGCTCGAACAGAAAACAAGCAGCCAGTTCATTTTCCAGGGAGATCCCAGTCACACATCATGCCTTTGAATGAAGATGCGGGAACGGAGCAAATGGTAAACAAGAGGAGCCTATTTCTCGAAGACATTAACTTGCATGAAAAACAACCATAGATATTTACAGTGTAGCTACAAAATGCCAACATGATAGTTGCAGAGCACATTTTGAAGTTCGATTTACCATCCATCTCACAAACATAAGATTGCCAATTGGATAAGGGCTGGAAAAAAACAGAACACAGTGGCTTAACCTCTGGGGAACCAACCATAGAAAACTACTCCCCAAAACTTGAAAGAGGAAATCAAACATTCAGGAGTAATTTATCTACCGGAACAAATTTGCCATACTGACCTTGACAGGGCCTTCAATCATGAGATCATAAATCAGCATCCCAGTGATTTCCATGATAATTTTGGAAACTCCTTCAAACCTAGGACTTCATTTTATTCTCAGTGATTAGTAGGGTGATTAGAAAACAGTGCACTCGCTAGAGCTTACTTTGAAAGATGTCTGTTTTACTTACTACCAAAAGCTAATTTCCAGAAAGCCACCCCCACCCCCAGGCCATCCAAACACACAAGATTTTTTCCAATCCTCTAGATCAGGTTCTGTTTCCTGAATTATTTATCACTCATGTAATTTTTTTTTTTTAATTTTAGCAATTATAGCACTTTAGGCTCGTGGCTATCAGAAGGGTGGGCTGTTTTAGAGAGTTCTGGAAAATTGTTTTAGTGACATTTCACTTTGTGAATTTCATTAAAGCCTTTCGGCTCGGACCTAAATTATTCAGGTGAGGGAAAATGTCTTAAGAGTCGCTCAAAAAAAGTATACATAAAAGTAAACATCACCTAGAAAGGCGTGCCACACGTCCTGCAGGTGTAAAGGTCTATTTTTCCAATCCTCGGCCCTCTCTTCCTCACATCACGCACTCTCAGCCAGTGTATGACCTCTCTCAATGCCAGCACCATCTCCCAGGCTGCATCCCAAGTCTGAACCAGAAACACACGCGTATAGGTCACTGCCAGAGTCCCGCCTGGCCCCTAGGAGCGACAGCTTCCTGCCTTCCCCACAGAGGTGAAACTAACCCCTTAGGGTCTGGCTGCCGGGCGCACAGCAGCAGCGCAGGCGGCGGAAGCCGATCGTAGGACTTGCAGGAAGGAAGTGAGCAGCCAGCAAAGCGCATTTTCTAACCGCAGAGCAAGCCCGGGACTGGACGTCGCCAGGGGAAGAGGGGCCGGCACGCGCCAGGCCACCAGACACACGCACCCGGCGTGCACACTCGCCTGTGCGGGGACGCGCTCACACTCGCGCGCGCGCGCGCCTACTCACCAGCAACCTCTAATGTCCGGAGCCCGCGTGGGACGGCGATTGCAGCGGCTGTCCCCGCGCCTGCCGTGTGTCCTTGGCATCCGTCTGGCAGCTGCAGCCTGGGCCGCGGTGGCTTTTTACTAGAAGGCACTGCAGCCGGGTGATATGGCACCCAACCGCGAGGCGCCGGGTCGCTTGCCCCAGCCGTGCCTCCTCCGCTTCCCCTCTGCAGACCGATGGAGCTTTGCTAGTTCCAGTTGCTCGGGCTCTGGTGCGTTGTTCTCCTCCTCGTCCTCCTCCCCTTCGTGGCCGTGGCTCCTCAGCGCCGGGGGCGCACAGCTCCCTCGAAAACCCACACGCAGGCCGGTCGATCACAAGCCTGCAGCAGCCGTCCCTGCTGCCGCCGCTGCAGGAAAAGAAACTGTCACTGCGATGGTCCCGGCCTCCCCTGCCCCGGCCCCTAGGTGCCGCCTCCGCTTCTGCCTCCGCCCCCTTCTCCGCGGCTGCGGCCTCCCGCTTTCTGCGGAAAAAGCTCGCAGGTGGAAGCAGGTCACTGCGGCTGGCCTAGAGCGAGAGTAAAACGAAGTGCGACTTTCTCATGTGAAACCCTGCACGTCCACTCCTCAGCCCAGAATCACCCGGAGTCTCATTTTGCTCCACCATCAATTTCATCGAGGTGGACCGGAGTGGATGCCTTTTAAGACTGAAGTGCACGCATGCCGTGATGCAGCTGGGTTTGACGGTGAAACTCGCTTTGGAGTTGCAGGAAGGATAAGGTTTTGGTGAAAATCCGCTTTATCCTTCATATTAGGAATTCTACCTTGAAATTTATTTATAACCTGCCCCCACCATGAAACACTTTAGTGTACTCGGGTAATGCAAACTGTTATCATATCTGCTGGATATTATATTATTCTCATGTGCCATGTTTTCAGTATGGTTCTGGCACTGTGCCGGGCACTCAATACATGAAATCTTATTTCATACTCTCCACAGCCATATAAAAGGTATTCTTATTTTTCCCATGACTGAAACACAGAGAAGTAAAGTAATTTGTCCCAGGTTACCCACCCAGAAAGTAGTAAAAATTAAGATTTAAATTCTGATCTAACACCAAAAGTGATTTCTATTGGCTGGGCAGATTGTATTAATTAATAAACATTTTGCAAACACTGCTCCTTCTAGATGCAACACAGGCACTTTCCCACTTTTCTTGAGTTTGGTTCAGAGGTTTCTTCCAAGTGAGAGAAGTGACTGCAGAGACGGGTAGTGGAACATCAGCTTTTCTTAATCTGCTTCTCCCTGGGAGACAGACTTCTAGCCCTGGCTCTGCCACCAACTGAGCTGTTTGGAGTCAGGCATTTCATCTGCTTAGGCCTCATCTCAGCATTGGTTTTTAAAATGAAGAGATTTGACTATTAGAGGCAGCCTGCAGCCTTGATTTTTAAGAAGCAATGGTGTCATTGTTTTTCTGTTTTTGAATTTGGTTCCAAATTTTAAAATCAGGAAACTTCACAAAAATTCAGACTTTTGGCGTGTTCTGAAAAGTTGGAAGAACTGACAACCTTTGGTCCATGGTGGATTCTAGTGGCAGGCTCCATCAGCTGGAGCCAAGTAGTAGATGTCCCCTTTAGACTGGGAAGATGCTCTTCAGTTTTCCACAGACCCCACCACTCCTATATGCCCCACCCCACTGACATTTGAGTTTGCAGTTCTGGGCTAGATAATCTCATGACCTACTAAACAATCTAAAATTCAGTGATAATTAAAAAGATTAACTAGATTCCTAAAAAGTATTATGAAACAAAGAATTCCACATAAATATTTATAGTGGTCATTGATCATGGTCTGGCTGCCTAGAACCCAAACTCTCATAGAAGCCAAAATGGCCCAATACTCACTGTCTCCAGCTCCTGGCAACTAGTGCATCATCATGTGACCTAAGTTCAGCCTAACAGAGGCTCCTGTCCAGGTCATTGAATCTGAAGTCTGTGATTCAAAGAAGAGATATTTTAGAAATAATCCCATTGTCTGTGAAGTGGCTTTTGTGCCCATAGACAGCAGTGCCAAAGGTGAGAGGTGGGAGTGTTCAATGGCAATACCAGTGGTGTCCTAAGTGTGCTGTTTGGGTGGTATGACCTGTTCTGATTTCAGCTACCAAGCTACCCTGCCTGTTTGATGAGCCTGACTCTCCAGCCTTCCTGTCCCTTTGTATGCCAGCTGATGGTTCCAAGACATTTCTCTTCTGGTTAAATTAACCAGAATTGGTTTCAGTGTTTGCCGCCAAGACTTTTGGGGTAATCTGAACTCTGCCTCCCTTTCACTAATTGACTTAATGAAAAATGGGCACAAGTGTATTTATACAACTGTTATCTTAGAGAATTTTAAAATGTTCTCTAATTTTCCTTGTGCTTTTAAAGATTCTATTTCAATATTAATCCAAAAACGCAAATTTTTAAAAGATAGAAGTATTTCCCCCTACCGATCATATTAGCAAAGACTGCATATAAATAAACATTGACCTCAGTACTGGTGAGGATGCAATGAAATGAGCCCCCTCATTTGGTGGTGTAATTTTGACACACTGTCAGAAAGGAATTTGTCAGTACGTTAATAGAAGCTGTAAAATGTATGCATTCTTTTCCCCCCGAAGCTGTAAAATGTATACATTCTTTTCCCCCCTCAAGTAATTCCACTCCCAGGACTCCATTTATCCTAAGGAAATCTGAAATGAAGAATAAGATTTCTGCATTGAGATATTTATCACTAACTTTGTGCATTAAAATTACATTTATGGTGAGTTTTAAATAACACTGATACTGCTTATGATAGAATGTTAAACAAATAAGGATACAAAACTGCATATGCATATATATTTATAATCTCAAGTAGATAAAAATTCAGGAGGAAATCTAGAAGAATTTATTGAAATTACTCCCTAGAGATTAGTTTCAGGCAATTAGAATTGCCTTCTTTATACTTTACTATCATTTTAATTTTCTTTAGTGGGCATGCTTTCCTCTTATTTAGGAAAAAGAAATATTTAATAACGAAAAAGAAACAGAATTTGTAGCCAGAAAAAGATGAGCCTGTATATATCACAGTGCTTCATCGGTAATAGGTGCATAAAAAATATTTGAGGAAAGAACAAAGATAGGAATAAGGAAGGGAGATCACACTATTTCACAGAGAAGAATGAGGAATTAAGGGATTGTGAGTCCCCTGTCATTTGTTTAGTTGATGGTAACATAGAAAGAGGACATTACATTTTAAACTACTTTGTTAAGTAATGCTGTATTTGAGTATTTCCCAACTGTGACAAGTGGCAAAACATTAATACCTTTCTCACTGGATGAGTATCATGGATCCAGCACTCAGATTTTTCTGGTCCCACAACATGAGAGAAAAATCTGTTCTGAGAAGCTGGAAGAGACTGAATGTTGCTGGTCAAGACAAAGAGGCCTCTTCTTGCCTCTGATCAGCCATCCCATAAAGGTCTGCCACTCCCTTTGGGTCACCCAAAAGTCCAAGAGTCTAGAGTAGTCTCTAATCTCTCCACCTGTCGCCGTCTTAATTGAATCATATTTGTTGGAACTGACAGTACAAAGAGAAAGTATGCAGGGTTGAATTTACATTAATCAGGAAACCAAAATTATATTCACATACTTGTAACTGTTTGGTGTTTGCACATAAACTGGTGGTCCCTGGGGTAATAACTGCCCTTGTTGGGGTCCTTGCTGAGATCAGATGGGCTGGAGTCACTGTGTTTGTTTCACAGATTTAAAATTTCCTGGCTCTGGATTATCTTTATTTCTTTTTTTCTTAAAGATTCGCCCCAAGCTAACATTTGTTGCCAATCTTTTTTTTTTCCTACCTCTTCTCCCCAAGGCCCCCCAGTACATAGTTGTATATTCTAGTTGTAGGTCCTTCTGGTTGTGCTTTGTGGGATGCCACCTCAGCATGGCTTGATGAGCAGTGCTTGGTCCGTATCCAGGATCTGAACCAGTGAAAACCTGGGCCACTGAAGTGGAGCGCGTGAACTTAACCACTGAGCCATAGGGCCAGTGCCTGGATTATCTTTAAAGTCAAGGGAAAGGCAAGAACTAGAATACCCAACTGATTCTATTGGAAGACAAATTGATCTTGGAGATTATATACTTAAAAGCATGTACCTCAGAAATTATTGTGTTCTTAAAAACAGTGTTCTTAAAATTCTGGGGTTTCCTATTGTTTATGCCAATGGTTCTCAAAACATGGCAGTGACCCTTGAAATCTTTTCAGACAGTCTGCGAGGTCAAAACTATTTTCATTAAAGCACAAATCTGTTGCTTGTCTTTTCCACCCTCATTCTCTCATGAATTTGCAGTGGAATTTTCCAGAGCTACATGTATGATATCACCATAGCAAGAATACAGGCACAGATATGAGAATCCAGTCATCTTCTGTGAAGCCAGACGTGAAAGAGGGTTGTAAAAGGATAAAACAATGCCCATTTTCTCACTAATTCTTGTTTTGTTTGGTTATATTGTAAGGAAATAGTTATATTGTAATGAAAATGAGATATTTAGTTTAACATTTAATCAGTTCGTTATTTTTTAATAAACTGATAAAATATTTTAAATATTTCTATTTATTTTCTAGTACAGTAAAAATAGCTAGATATAACTTACATGAACAAAAGCTCTCTGGAGTCCTTGATAGATTTCACGATCGTTTTAAGAGTGTAAAGAAGTTCTGATGCCGAGAGCTTTGCAGACCACTGGTTTATGCTATTAAAGATCTAATAAGTTCTGAACAACCTATTTTTCGTTTGAGGAATTATAACTATGGCAACTAGCCTGGGTCGCTAAGTGCAGGAAGCAACTGCTTCAAAAATGGAAACTGCAAACACATTTGACTTTTTCCACTCATGAGATTTATTTTGGTGCTCTCTTCCTGTTAGTTACTTTAGGATTCAAGAATTTTGTGTCCGTTATGTTCCCATATTCAGTATACTGGATAAAGTTTCAGAATTCCTGGAACTTTGTCCTCTCCTACCATTTCCCAGCTGCCCTGTGTCTCATCCCCCGAGCCTAGTTCCTCCCTTGGAAGCATGGGAATGATGGCTCTAGATAGTTCTTAAGGTAGTTTTGAGGCTAATGAGTATGAAAGCATTTGAAAACTATAACGTGCTTTGCAGATATAAGGCTTACTACTATTAAACATTTCAACATATAGGAGGACATTTGATGAAATGTAAATTATCTCCTCAGCTGATATTATTGATCCCTTGGATTTAGGTACCTACGACATTGGTAAATGTGGAACAAATGTTAACAATGTTTGGAGTGATAGATTTTTTTCTAAAGCCCTTTTTGTTGCAGGCTGATTTACAGATACAAAGGATGTGTGTGGAAGGACAGAAAAGTAGCGGGAGGTGAGAGAGGGGGCAGGCGATAGAACAGCATCTGACTCTCACTGTCAGAACATGTCCTGGAACAGT